CAAATTTCAGCCTTACAGAGGAGAAACAGACAACTTCTGTAAATATGACAACAAACTGCAGAATATTTACATCAAACAGCATTCACAAAGTTAAAAAAAAAAATAAATAGAAAACTCCTTTTGCACTGGACCAAGTCAGCAGCACAGTGCGGACCCTACCGACTTCAATAGGCCACCGTGTCAGACACGGATGAATTGACCAGGAGGACAGCCGGTATTTCTCCTACAGAGAGCATCTAGGGAGCAGGGAGGTGGCCTCAGCCTGACACAAAGCAAGAGGTTACCTGGCTGGTAACATCTGTAAGTGAAACAAGGCACCATGCTGGAATTAGGCTACTGTCGGTCCTGCCACGCAGAGGAAGAGCAGTGGGATGCTATAGGGTAACTGGGGTTTTGCCCCTGTGATTCTACTTGGAGGACAAATGAGTTGTGTGTTCAGGGCTGTCAAGCTGGCCCAGTTTTCAAGAACAATATATACTTAATACTAAAAAAAAAATACTAAGTGTTTAAGTTCAGTTATCTAATTCTGCTGGTATCTGAATCCATGCATAAGTAATGGTGATTCAGTTGGGAAATCAACATTCCTCACTTGCAAAATTTTATTCCCTCTCCTCATGCAGATTTTAAACACCTTTCAGAAGAAGCAAAGTCAAGCCTCAAAGGGCTGCAGATCTGTTTCACTCTAGCTCATGTTAAGCTGCTCAAAAGCACAAGTTGTGATGGTCAGTATTACCTATTTTGCCATGTCTGAACTAGAATTAACTGGAAAAGGATTATCTAGTTTCTCCAAATTGTGTGGACATAGCCCCAAATCTTTAAATAATAAAAACCAGAAAAACGGAAATAAAAGGACTTCAGAGCACAGGCAACAGAAGGAATCACCTGGAAGATGGAACACTTGGGTTCAAAAGCCTCTTCTGTGCTTGATCAACTTTACACATTAAAATAGTCCTACACAGAAAAAACACTTTTTGCACAAAGGTCCTCAAGCCTAGACACAGTATGTTTCAGGCGAGTGTCCTGAACACAACATGATCTATTTTCATGTTGCTCTCTGTGGCTTCATCCAGTCCTTCCACGCTGGATCCATGAAGCCTTTCCTTATCCCCTTGGTGCGGAGTAGTTCTCCCACAACAGCGGAGGAACGAGTTAAAGGACAAGAGTGGCTTCAAGCCCGACTTCAGTTGGGTTGCCCTCGGCACTGACACCGAGGCAAGCAGCCACTTACGTCTGCTCCTCACTGCCGGTTTAACACATCACAACAGTTTAACTCTTGACGTTTTCACCTGTTCCGAGGGAAAGTGAAGCCCTTGTCTAACTGAAATGTATGGCTTGCGTAAAAATCCACAGTAATTAGAGTACTAATTGGAGATACTGTTTCTTTGAACACTCGCTGAAATAATTCCTAAACTACTACTACTATTCAGGATAGCAACCGCTGCCTCCGAGACAAGCTAGCTAGTGTTCAGTTGTCCAGCTTTTATTTCCCACTTAAGAAAGGACATCTCCTTGCTTTCCTCCCCTATCTAGCTTAATCCTTCACGACGAAAAATGGCACCAGCTCTGGCTGTTAAGGCTTCCTAGCATGAGACACAAAGGCAGAAGTCAAATGGTTTCTGGTTTCCACCCGCTCCTGTATCAGGCAGCGCAAACACTGATGACCAACTTGATTGCTTTTGTAAACTGTCAGGTCCAGTTCATGCTGCTACCAATGTAGAAAAAAAAAAATTTAAGATTTGAATTGTAAGTGAAGTTTGATGTCTACGTACACTCCAAATAACAATAATTGTTAACGACTAAGGCAGTGTACAAGGCAAAAATCACATTTTGTTAGAAGTACATGAGTACCATACACCACCCAACGTACACCTCTACACAAACCACCTTATTCAAGCATATTTCAAAGCCTGCTACTGATAATCCAGGAGTATAAGTACTAGAGTTCTCCATATTCAGCAAAAGACTACAAAAAAAAAAGGAAAAAAATGAGTGTTTTGGTTTCTGCTCAGTACCTTAGGATAGGCGCTTTGGCATTTGGCAAAATTTCCATTTGTGTTCTTCACTAAACAAATTGTCATAGATTTCATTTGTATTACTAAAGCTCAAGTTTGTCATTTGCACTACCTCTACAGCAGTCACTCATTTAGTTTCAAAATACACTGAGTACACCAGTGAGCCTAAGGAGACACAAATCCCAAAAGAATCCAAAACCATTTGTGGCTTTTTCCTGAAGTGTGGATTGAGATTTTTTTTTTTTATTTTAACTGAAAAATCCTCCACATGGCTTCCAAACTTGTGGCATTCGTTATGAAATAGATGTAGAAAACAAGAAATGCTAAGGAAGCTCTTCTAACCATGAGTCACCAATTTACATGCTGTACTTTGTACAGCAAGCAACGCACTCAAAGAAGGAATCGTGTTAGAAACTATTAAATATAGACAGTAATTATGTGAAAACCGTGTGATCATATCTGACTTCAATAAGGATCCATGAAAAAGGATGCTTCATCAGATATATTCGGTAGAGCCATGTTTTGTCTAAACACCCGTTTGGCACAGAGCATAAGAAATAGCAAGGATGGACTTTTAGTGCATAAAATCAGAGAAGAGCAGTGGATTTTGGGAGCATCTTTGGTGTGTCAGACTGCAACTGTTCAAATTACGTTTCATAATTACTTCACATGCCTTTCTAAAAGAAAAAAAAGGGTGACAGAAGTGGCAGCAGCAGATATTAAATACTGTTTCTAAACACGTGAACTAGAGAACAGTTTGTGTAAGCTAAACCTCCCAGTGTGCCTCTGAAACACGCAAGTTTCATGACTCCACGACGATCACTCCCTTCTAACGGCAAATTAGCCTCAAGAACGCAGCTACTGTCATACAGATTTTCTGTACATACCGCTTTTCAACAACATCCAGAGGAAGGGATACTCATCTTAGCCAAGATGCTAAAACATCTTACTTCCACAGCTAGCAGGCTCTCAGCTCTCCCGTACTCCTGACAGCACTTAAGCGCTAAGGTTACATTTATATACTTTACAACCATCTTTTCAGAGTGGAGGTTGTTGCTCAGTTTTGCGTATCTGACTTTATCAACAGGGCTACATGACATCGCCTTGCAGTATAGAGCCAAAGCAGTTAGTTACAAGTTGTTAGGGAAACGATTCATCAGTAGGTAGGTTCATGTAAAATTCAAAAGGTTTTTTTTTTTCCCCATTTTGTTTTTGGAGAACAGTCCGAGAAATCCAAGTGATGTCTTCCTTACAGGAGTACTTCAGCTAGCTAGCGAAACAGAAGCAAGATTTGGCATTTAGCCTCCGATTAGTGCGAACAGCCTCTTAACCAAACATTATGAAGAAAGTTAACTTTAAAATGCTTTGAAAGGTCTGTTTTCATGACAGATGGTAATAAGGGCTCATCAGTGCCAATTTTTTCGCTTCCACCTCAGTTTTCAAAAGCTTAAGTTTTAGGTTAGTGCTTCTGAGAAACCATTACACACACAGAGGAAAACTGCAAATTACAAAATTAGATTACTCACTATTTTTATTGTGTGTAACATATTTTTCTAAAGAACACTAACATATGAAGAGTAAGAATTCAACTGTGCGCTTAATAGACCACTTCCCCTTTCTGTTTACTAGAATCCCTCTTTTTTTTTTTTTGCCACCTATTTCTCCTTTAACCTTTATCTGCACACCTGGAGAGTTATTCCTCTCCCCACAGACCCCAAAAGATACAGCAGTTGGTAGCAGGTAGAAGTTTTGTGTGTACAATACACTCACTAGGGAAGACGTGGTAGAACTATATTTTATTCAAGAAACCCACACATTCTGTCCTGTGGTGACCACAGACTTTGCTAAGCCATAGATATCAGCAAATACTGGAACAAAATACAGTGTATCAGATTGCATCAAAGCATTTAAATTCTGAATTACAGTTATAATTTTCAGGGAAGGCTAGTTTCAGAATTGCATCATAGTATCTAGTACAATGTTGTGCAATGTAAGTGGCAGAAACAGAAATGGAATATTGGTCCTAATAAAAACCGAAATGCAATGACTTTTGTATGACATTTAAACTGTCAAGACAACAATTCATAACATTTTACCAAAGGCAGCATATAGTTACAAAAATACTGGTCCAGCATCTTGTTAGTGGTGAAGCAATATCCAAGGTGCAATGGCAATGTGCCATTCTTTGTGAAGTATTTTTTAAAAAACTATTTTCTTCTATTTTCCCCACACTGATACTAGCTGAACACCAAAACTGCTATGACAACCCGAAAGTCACTACTTATCATGTGTATTGCACCAAAGATTTATGCAAAAACACATTTTCCAAGCTGCAGTATAAAAGAAGCAAAATCTAATAAAACTATGAATATGCCAAAAGACATTTTACTACCTCTGATCTTGGATGAGCAGGCTGCAACATCTATTGAGCTTTAAACAATTGCTCAAGCTTGCCCATTCTATCCATTATCTTGAACTTAAGGATACAAAGGCAAAAGACAAAGTCCTTAATATTGAGAACAGAATTAAACCACTTTACACTCCTCTCCATTCACCCACAAAATAAAAATACTCTGCCCTCCTCTCCTCCCAGTACTCGGGTAATTTCAAAGTCAAGCCTTGGAATTACCCTTCTTCTGATATTGCACTGTGCTAGGATTGTATTGTTTCCACCTAGAAGTTCAAACATACAATATGAGCGTGACCAAAACTGCTGGAGACAGTAGATCTGCTTAACTTGTGGAGGTATCCCAAGAAATGTGCATCAGACAAAGACACAATCTAAATGGCAAAGTGTACCGCAGACTTGGCTGTGGTCTGGACTTGGGCCAAAAATAAATTAGCCTGCCTGCCATTTCCTTCAAGAAAACAGCATCAATTAGTATCTTAACCAAAAGACGAAGTTGAGTAAGATCAGGTAACCATGTCACGTTCAATGTTACAGCCAACAACGCAGAAATGAAGTAGCAGCAGACAGGAATATTAATCATATTTTCCTTTTAATAATGGTTTAGTCAAAAGTGTAGCTTTGAAAACCTCTAGCTAGTTGTGAAAACCTGAAGAAGCTGGGAAGTGACCTCTCTTTGAACAGTACAGTTTAAAGCTGTGACTTGGCCTATCTGCTTTCAAACTCTCCAGCAGCACTGCCAATTTTGTAAATAAAAGGTACCGCCTGGAAACATAAAGAAGTCAGCCTTTAAAAGTTGGTGAATGTTGTATTGTAGCAGCCTAACTCCGACTGAAGAAGAAAGATGAGATATTTCTATACAGTAAACAAAAGACAAAGTAAACTGAAATCTTCAGAGATCACTTTAAGTGTATACAATTTGGATTCTCATCAACATTTAAAACTACCAATCATAAGGTTGCCACCTTACCTTTTTCTGGACTGGCATACCTGATTTTAAACAGGTTTTCCTCCAGTCCCCACGTTTCTGATCCTCTCATCCAGTTTTCTGCTGTACTGCTCTCCCACCTTCCTGCTGCATACCGAGTCAGTCCTGCCTTCTGCTTTTCTTGGCAGGAGGCAGAGCAAGCTTTTAATTTCGGTAGTCAGAGTGACAGAACAACAAAAGCACAGCAGATAGAAGAGCTTAATTCTTCCCCAGGAAGAAAACACATTTGGTTCAACAAAGGGCTGCAAAATCTTCCAAAGGCACCTCTTTCCCCAGTTTTTGCCTGAAAGCAAGATGGCAATCTTAATTGAAAAGGGATGCTAAATCTCTTAAATAACTTAAAATTTCATTTTTATATAAAGCAGCAAAAACATTTTTCTCTGCAGAAAGAGAAATGTTAACAAAGAAACACACTAACATAAAAGCACTGTTCATAAACTTCAGCTAATTCAATTTCACCAGAAAGTAAAATTTTAGGACTATTCTTTAACCTCATCAGTACTTTCTGAAGAAGATTCTTTGGCATCTTCAGTCTCTCTGTTTCTTTTCTCTTTATTTAGATTTTCACTTTCTGATTTGGTCCCGTTAAATAGAGAGTTTTCACCATTTACAAACCCATTCTCTGTGACTTCAGCATCAATAGCTTCATCAATCTTTAAGTCCCCTTGCTCTTCCACATCTTCTAGGTTTCTCAAGACAATAGGGAGTCTAGAGTCTGCCACAGTGTTCTCCAACAAGGCAATATTGCTCTCTTCATATTTAGGAAGCGGAGCTCCATCTGCCATTTGTTTGGTATAATACTCTCGGCTAGCAGCTGCACTCTTTACTGCTTTCTCCAAGATCTCTTTTTCACCTAAGCGCAATTTGATAGCCATTATCGCATGTGAAGTAAGGTCACGGGTCTCCAAGAAGGATTTATCATCCTGTTAAAAAAAGGAAAAGCAAGTCAGTAACAACCAACACAAAAAAAATCCCTCAACGTTTCTCTCTATGCATTAACAACAAGTGACACTAGGTTCTTCAGGCTGAGCCAAATGGACATACATGAATGAGGAGGTCTGCATGGAGTCCCAGGGAAATTTGGCAAGAATTCATAAAGAAGCCAGAAATTTCTCCACATAGACCAGCCTGGATAACAAGCGAAGTCAGGAGAATTCACATATATATGAAACATGCAGGGTCACTTATACAGGCGCAATAGTAGCACATTTATTTGCAGTCTGGAGAATGCAACTAACAGACAAGTTGAAACTGATTCCCCATTTTACTTGCAGAGAAAAAGCAGGGAGCCTCTATTTGGTGAATCAAAATAAAAATACATTAACAAAATTTTCTTTTTTTGCAATCTTACTTGATTTTCCTTAGATAAGGCAAATCTGTTTCTACACTTTAAAAAGCACAGAATGAATTATGTATTAACATTCAGATTAAAGTTTGTAAAGACAAGACAGGGGACAACATATCTTTTCCTACAATCATAACACAAAACATTTCAGACATTTAAATTACACGTAACATTAATGTTACCTCCACAGTTGTTTTATAGGTTTTCAGAAGAAGGGATGCTCTGGCTTCTAGGAATGTCCAAAGTTTAACTTCATTGTCCCAGCTAATGGGAAACTCAGAGTTCCCCAGAGTGAAGATTTTGTCAATGGCATGCTCGCCTATCAAGTGTTCCTTCAGCTCTTCTGCAATAAGTATAAAACCGATCTGTTAAAAGCAATCTCATCATTCACTTTGCAAGTTGACAAACTGCAGAAAGGTTTATTTTCAACAGTATAGCTTTGAGCAGCTAACAAAAAAAACCACCTCTCCTCAAATAAGAATTATCAGATATGCTGGTTAATTCTGGGATTCTCCTCAAAGAGGCAACGGGAAGTCTTGAGGTTAGCAGAAAATGGACCTTCTGCTGCACTGGGAAATAAAGATACTTTATATATCATAGCCTCTCATACTCAGCGTAACTGTGACAGTGAGACAGAATGTTTTGCATAGTACTTAATAAACAAAAGGAAGGAATTCTTTAAAGAGTTTGGAGAACCTTTTGATAATAAAAGGAACAGGCTAGAGAATGTGCCAATAGCAAAGGAATTATTTTTCCTATTGTTTTGGCAGTCTTTTCCAGTAGCAGAAACTCCCTACGGTTGGTCAGAAAAGACATCCACCAGACAAACCTCACACAGAGTACAAAATGTTTAATCAGCTCCTTGACATTACACAAATTCCATTAATCTTCTAATTAGCAAATTTCACTCCTGCAAAGCAGCTACCACAAACTTCACAAAACACTTGCATGTAGTTTCTCAATAAACAGTTTTCTTATACAGTATTTAAGACACAAATAACCTGAGCACAATCATATATCAGAGTAATGCAATTAAAATGTTTACAAGCTATATTTTATTCTCCGAGACAAAATTCAGTCCCTCATCGGCATTCTAAAACCTTCCTTACGTGAAAGTGGTCAGGCAGTTGGACTAGATGCTCGTTGTACATCCCTTCTAACCAAACTATTCTATTCTAAGAGCACACATGAAAACTTAACTACTTCAGTATTCCTACTGGTATGAAGATCCACATCATCCATACAGCATTCCTAACTGCAAGGGAATTCTCTCACTGTCATGAAAAACTGTCACATCAATAACCTCCAAAACCGCATGTAACCAGAAAGCAGCTACTACAAACATTTAAACAGAAGTTTCACATGCACAAATTAGGTGAATATTTATTAACTGTGCATGTATTTTCCCCATAAAACACCCAAACATAAGAGAAATGCTATAAAGACAGTTTGCAAATACCTAAGTCTGCTTTAAATTATGAATTGCCAAAATATTGAAAATACTCAATTTTGAAATGTATCTTCCATATCTCTCCTGCAGTACAGAATATTCCACTTCCACACCTAAATGATTCCAGCAGTCATGGCTAATACGCTATAATTTTAAGCATGTGAACCCCTAGGTCTCACATGATCTTGTTCTGTGAACCATTTTTAAATGTAAGAACTAAAGATCAAGCTCCAAAGCTCACTCATTCATCACAGCCTGGGAGATTAAAAAAAACTTAAAATTGCATCACCTCATGCTTTAGGAGTTCTAGAATCACCTACGTTACTGAAATATTCCCTCAGACAACATGACCAAAGATCGGGTTTCTCACTACTTTATAGATCCCCTTTTAACCTCAGCTCCTCAATTTACCCAATCTTCTAGCTTACTGTTTCATATAAATGCCTATCACATTCCTGCATTAAAAAAACCCCAAACAAATGTAAATTAGGTTATCTTTATAAAGCATCTTACCTTCACTCATACAAAACACTCGAAGGAAAGCCAAAAGCTGGGCAGAGATTGGAGGCTCAGTGGAGTGCAAGGCAAAAACACTAGAACTAATAATAAAAGAAACAATTAAACAACAACAACAGTAAATGCAAGTTCAATTGTCATACCTTTGAACTTCTTTCAACATAAGAGACCTTAAAGTATACAACAAAGGCACTGTTACAAAAGTAACTTTTAAAAAATTAGGTAATACTAGTTGAAACTGAAGAAAAGCTTCCCTAACCTGCATCTGAAAAGAACAATTATCTCTACAATTTTACACTCACAATTATTTTTATATAGCTTTCATAATAAATTCATGAAAATGCAATGTTTCACGTCTGCTGCTCCTAACAGTACCCTCTGGACCGAAAAGACTACAGGAAATGCTGTGGTTCACATACTGAGCATTGTAGTATGTCTGCAAGGGATAGGAAAGAAAGAAAACCCACAGATTGCTTCAAATTAATCCTCATTCTGTTTTTGTTCAAATGGTTATTAAAGCAAAGGCCTTTTCCTTATATATGGTCCAAATGAGATGATAATATAGCTGAGAGAACTTCTGTAAATATTATTACAATAACTTTAATTTGCTACACAAACAGGAGAAATATTACACCTAAGAAAGCTATCATAGAACAGCATTATATATGCTCTACTGGACACTATATACTTTGGAAATGTTTCTGAAAAACCCATGGCATTGTGTTTTACTTACGTTGGGATACCAGCACGAGCTAAGACCTCTGCCTTCATAGCATACAGCCTGTCACTTTTACTCACGCCAAGCTTTATTTTCACTCTGTCATGTGAATTATTATCAAAGAAAAAACCACTGTGGATCACAAATTCAGCGTTTGACCGAGTGCCATAAAAAATGTAAATCTAGAAGGATGAAAAGAGAAGTGAAGGGACAGGAAAAAAAGCTTAAGATCAGCTCACAAAACTGACATAATTTGAAAGTTATTTCCTGAACGAGTTACTATTCTGAGAACAAGGTATATTTGTTTATATAAAAAACACACTTTGTTTTCTGGTGTCAATTCAAATGCTGTATATAGTGTGGCAATACACTTTAGAGGTAGATGTAAACATATCCATGTAACCGAGAGACTTTGAAACTAGAGTAGAGGTTCTTATTATCTACTTTAAAATAAAAATGCTTTGTTTTCTCACGCTGTCATAAACCACCAGTATATGGAAGTAAGCTTTCAAAGATCTTATGCCTTTTAAAGGCTAAAAAAAAAAAACAAGAGAAAAGAGAACCTGGATCAACTTTGCTTTTGTTTTAATGTTATCTTAAAGGCATGAATATACCAAAGGATATCATACAGAGAGACCTGATCCGATATGTTCAGCCAGTATTTATTTTTGTGTTATACTCTGAACTCTTTATCTAAAGCACATGGGTTACTTTAATTCACATTGAAAAAAGAAGTTCCTATACATAACCCGCAAAAAGTGTTTAACTCGGGGCTAGGCTGTGTGAAGTACATGGGACAAGAGGTCAGAGCAGCAATTGTCATCTTCTGCATCAAGACGATATTTCCCCCTTTTATTTGATAATGGAATTGTCAATCAGAAAAAAGTTTCAACAGTTACAGAACTCCCTTGTTAACCTTAGGATACGCCAACGGTCTGGATACCTGTAAGCTGCCAACCCACTTTAGCTGTCAGAGTAAGGCACAGTGTTCTCTTAAAGCCTCAACAACACTATTGATGCCATCTACTTTCTTTGTTTTCAATGTTAGATTAGAACTATTTTTCCAAAGCACTAAATGCATAAGCCTGATAGTACATTATGGTAAACATTATACCATAACACACTCGACCTGCTCAGGTATGTTAAGGCAATGGCTAAGGAGAGAGCTGCTAATCCCCCCTCAAGTTTTAAAACCATTGTGATACATCTTATATTCAACTAAAAGTCACATATCATGCGTAGATTATGCAGTATGCTCTTACACTCTGTTTTACAAAAAGGCCAATTAAACAGAATGAGAGAGTTGCTTTATTCAAGGCCAGTGTGTTTGATAGATGCTGTGGACTTCTGCTGCCTCACATCTTTTAGCAGTAAAAGCAAGGAGCATACACTGCTTGAACTGCTGAAACTGTAAGAAATAACATCTGCACACTATATTAAAAGACTGAAGCATTGTATAATTAAAGTGTTTTAATGATGTCGATAACAGTATAAGTTTGCACAGAAATTTTTTTAAAAATCTGATAAATAGCAGACAAAGTGAAACTACTAAAATAAAATTGAAATAGAGGAAGCCTCTGTAATTGAAATGGAGAGAGCAGCCAGAACAGCTATACGACATATCCATTGCCAGCTGTGGAAAATTATAAATTGGATCAATTCTGGAAAAACTGTGGACCCCTTTCAACTCATCATACCAGTATTGGAAAAAACAGCAAATATTTGACTACCGTAGCAAATTCTGAGCGCAACACAAAAAATATACAGTCACTGTAAACCCCAGCATAGCAATGAGGATAAATATACCTCTGGAAAGACATACTTTAAAAAATTTTTCAGACACATCTTTGTTAAAAAAGAAGGTAACACTACATAAGAAAATTGAAAAAATCAAAATATTATTAAGTGTAAGAGTGGCAAAATAATACATAGAGTAATAACTCAGAGACCGAGTTACAAAACATTTCAGGATGTTCCACAGACATAGTCTTTTTCTGGCCATGCTGACTGCAGTCACATAAGCAGTACGAAATACGGAGTGCTACTACACTTGAGGGCTTACGGTGGCTGCCGACGCAGCATGGGAACCCTCCTACCAGAGATTTCCTACACTCCAGGAACCACTGCCTTCAATGCATCTCTAGTTTTAACACTCCTTTTCCTGTCTTAGCAGTTCTGAACAAAATACTGGATTCTGAACTGCTCCATGCATCTTTGCAAGACCCGCCCTTTGGTACTTTCTGTCTCAGGATGAAGGGGTGTGTACACATGTGCAATGCCTGTGTAAAAGGGAGGGAGTATATTTTTACAGCCTTTCTCATTTTCACTAAGCATGGGAATGGCAATATGGGTAAAATGACTGGCAACTATACTGCATTTAACCTCTTGTTAAACAAAGACTAACAAGAAACATAAACCAACAACATTAAGAAAAACTCTACAATCTGCTGTTGCAGACAAAGCAACGCCCCGAATCTAAAATATATTTATCTTCGGTCCTTTGGATATGGCCTTTCACTAATCTCATCCAGAATACCAAACTCAGTGCCTGTATATGTGCATTTACCAGTGATTAAATATTTCAACTAGTTTTCTAAAATATGAGGAATCAAAAATCTCCTAAAGTTTGGGTCTATCAAGTGATAGAAAATGTTTTATTCTGAAAAATCTGCACTTCTTTAGTTCGGCAGTATTTTCACACAAAATTAGCTCAACATAACAAAATTCAAACGTAGCAGGGCTTAATCCACACCACCCTGCTATTAAAATTTTGCAGGGAGTTACCAAGTGGCACAAAACTTAATTAAAGAACAATTACGTAGGGAACTGTTCACACTACCTGTTCTCCAGCCTTGAAATCCTGAAGTGCTACACATTCACACCGGTCATCTTCTAAATTGTAGCCTGTAGTGATCTACCCAAGGAAACAGTAACAGAAGCACCTTTAGCATTTTATATTTATCTCCCCTACCATTGACAAAACATTGTCCTATTAGAAATAGATACTAACAATAGTAATTGCATACATTTCTTTTTCTGCATAGTACAATATAGCTGGTAGTAACTGTTTTACAATTCCTGAGCAATCCCTTTTTAAAAACTCTCTGAATTAAAGAAATCTAAGGGAAGAAATACCTTACCTGAAGTGAACGGAAGGCTCTGAGGGAAGTACCCTCCATAGACCACAGACAGTCCTGTGCTAAAGCCGGCAGCTTGTTATAAAGTTCTGGAGTTTTCAGTCACTCCCGCAAGGCCCAAGGGAGCAAGGCACCGACAGCTCTATATGCTGTGCTTTATCCTTCAACTGCCAGCACATTTTTGATCTCTCAGTGAAAAAGGATTAGATAACTGTGGGTCTTTAGGGGATACAATCTTCAGAGAATTATAATTTACGTGAAAATAATCCCTTTATCTAGAGTTAAGTAATATTCTTAAAATGCTAAAAGGATTTTTTTGATGGTAGCAGGCAATGGAAGAGGATAAATTCTCTTAACAAACCTGTGCTTCTCCAAAAAAAAATACAAAGCCATAAAGCGGTCACACTAACAAGTAAAGCTATCGTAAAAATGTAATACTTTTTCAAGTGACAAACTGCATGTTCTTCAATAGTATTACCAGCGATATAGGCACAGATGCAGCCACAGGATGGACCATAAGCTGCCGAACAATCAGGAAGAAACTTTTATGGTAGCTACTCTGAATTTGGTACTGAGAGAGCTAACATATGGAAAAATATGCTCTGGGCCTGAGGAAAAAACTAGAAGCCGCCAAAGACTCTTTCTCAGCTTTTGTAAGTGAAAACATACTTGTTTGTAAGCTGACTTACATTTGAGGTGTGGTATACCCAGATTCCCATCTTGGATGCAGTTTGTCCAAAGACACAACTCCACGGGTTATTTTGAAAGCTTGGCTGATGGTTTACGTATTAATAGCTTTATACTGCTTGTATCATCAAGTGCGCATTTGTCAGCCAAAACAGTGCTTTCAAAGAGAGCACAGGGAACTTGCCTACGATGTAGCAAATCCAAAATGGGAGCCGCCAGCATGGGCAGCCCGGTGCTGAGGAGGCTTGCGGAACAGCTCTGCACACAGATGCCACCAGTTCAGTCTACTAATGGGGTTGTGGTATGCTGAGATCGGA